ATAAGAGTGAAATGGCAGTTCATACATGGCAGTCACAATCATCTTTCCCTAGGCATGCTCAGCCCCACTCTACCTATTCTTCCAATGGGCTATGATCAGATCACTTACAGCCAATTCTACATCCTATTCACAATCACCTCCTTCTGCCTCCTGCTCCCACTGTCCATGATTATCTCTTTTCTGCATTCTCTCACTCTTCTTGATACTTGATCTCTCTATGCTCTCCAGTCAAACTCTATCTCTCCCAGTTAGCATAGTTAGCCGTTACCCCTCTTTCTCCACTCCACCCCCTGCCATGACAGCTTTCATTATACCTCTTCAAGGCCCAATTGGTCTACAATCCGTTGCTATTTTGCCTCGTCTAACATTATTTCCCTGTTAGTCCATGATTGTATAGCACTAAATGTACTTAAAATGTTAAAAAAAAATACATGCACATTTTGCCATGTTTTATCACTTTAAATATGCTGCAAGTTAAGAAAGTTAACTGTTGCTGTGTCAGAAATATGGTATGCTCCTACCTTCCTCTAACATAACACAGCTCTAAATGTTTAAGCATGTAATGTCAGCCCTACATACTTTGTTTCTGAGGGAATACAAAGAACACAGACACACTCTTCTCACCCCTTCTCATCATTATAACCACTCCTTGTTCACAGGCAGGCAGCACAGGAAGCTATCTGCTCACAAGATGTCTGGCAAAGTCAACAGTTTTTCTTTTTTTCACTTTTTTAACATACATAACAAAACACTTTCAATTGTGTATTTAACATACCAAAAGGTAGCACAAAAAAGAAAAGTTTGCGGTTAGGGGTTACAGACACTTTAGGGGCTAGAGTACAACTAATAAGGAAAAATAAAATACAAACATATATTAAATGCTTGGTTTATCATTCACCTGTTTGCTTAAAGTATTACCAGTTACTCCCCTACCAAAGTGAACCATGTTTTCTCCCAGGTTGCCCTTCTTGAGATCTTAGGTTCTTTTCATCAAGCTTTGGAACGACCTATTGTGCTCCAAAAAATCCTTGCTGCCGTCATGTCCCTTAAATTAAAAAAAGAACTGTGCCTGATGGATTCACTGCCTCATACTATAAGAAATACTCAGATCTTCTGGCTCCTCTCCTGACCGAGGCCGTTAATAGCCTTTGTGATGGACAGGGTTTTTGGTCTGGGACTAACAAAAATAGCGTGTATGACCCCCAAGGCAAACACTGACGACACCAACTGGGCTAAGTTTAGACCAATCTCTCTTAATCTTTGATATCAAGCTACTGGCTAGGTGCTAGCATTTGGAATAAACTTAATGATCAGTATTTGCTGATGCACAAGGATCAGGTGGGCTTCATGCCATTATGGAAAGCTAGAGATAATGTCCGTAGGACCTGCTTATTACTTGAGACAGCCAAGAAACGAAAGCTTCCCCTATAGCTTCTATCACTTAATATTAGTAAGACATCTGACTCTCTCATGGCCAAACACAATCTTTATCTTATGATGTTCAGAATGCGTAAGTGGGTCTCGGCCCTGTTCTCAACCTCCAAACACTTTGTCACCTCCTTCGATTACACTACCCCACATAGAGCAATC